CACACACCAAGTGGTCCTGCGAGTGGCCCTCCATCCCAAGTACCATCCTGTCCTGTTGTTCCAAGTGATCGACACCAAGTTCGATGCCATCCTCGGCATGAGCTGGCTTGCTCGTGCCGAGCCGACTCCAGTCGTCGACTGGAAAGGCCGCACTGTCCGTGTTGGCCCTGACATTGTCCTGCAGGGCATGGCCTCACCCAACATGCCACCTCTCCTCTCAGCCATGCAATTCAAGAGGCTGATCAAGAAGGACACGTCGTTCCTCTGTGTCGTGCGTGAGGTCGACGACACCGACCAAGCCGGTCCCGGTCCCCCGCCTGTGGTGACCAAGCTGCTCGACGAGTACAAGGACGTATTCCCCGACCAGTTGCCACAATGCCTGCCACCCCAACGCACCGTCGATCATCGCATCGACATCGAACCAGGCTCGTCGCCTCCGTCAAGACCGACGTACCAACTGTCGCTGACGGAGATGGACGAACTCAAGCGCCAGTTGGATGACCTCCTCGCCCATGGGTTCATCCGCCCGAGCCAGTCACCGTATGGTGCACCAGTGCTCTTTGTCAAGAAGAAAGAAGGTGATCTCAGGATGTGCGTCGACTATCGCGCACTAAACAAACAGACCATCAAGAACACCTACCCGTTGCCAAGGATCGACGAGTTGATGGATCGTCTGAGTGGAGCAAAGGTCTTTAGCAAGATAGACCTCCGCTCAGGCTACCATCAGATCCGCATCCACGAGGATGATGTCCACAAGACCGCCTTCAGGACTCGCTACGGACTGTACGAGTTCCTAGTGCTGCCGTTCGGATTGACGAACGCACCTGCCACGTTCATGCAGCTGATGAACGATGTGTTCCGCCAAGAGCTCGACAACTCTGTCATCGTGTACCTGGATGATATCCTTGTGTACAGCAAGGATGAAGCGACCCATGAAGGTCATGTCGCCCGCGTGCTGGCCAAGCTACGCGAGCACAAGTTGTATGCCAAACTGTCCAAGTGCGAGTTCTTCAAGAATCAAGTCCCGTTCCTGGGACACGTTGTCTCAGGAAGAGGAATCGAAGTCGACCCCGCCAAGGTCAAGTCTGTGGTCGAGTGGCCGCCGCTCGCATGCGTCTCTGACGTGCAGTCGTTTCTCGGTCTCGTCAACTACTACCGCCGATTCATCCCCGATCTGGCGCGCACTGCCGGTCCACTCACAGACCTACTCCGCAAAGAGTGCCCCTTCGTGTGGGACCACCCACAACGCCAAGCGTTCGAGACCCTCAAGCACGCCTTGACGAACGCTCCTGTCCTCGCTGTGTTCGACCCGAACACGGATGTCTCCGTGCACACCGACGCCTCCGACTTTGCGGTGGGAGCTGTTTTGATGCAGGAGGGAAGGCCCGTTGCCTTCGAGTCGCGCAAACTGTCCCAACACGAGATCAACTATCCCGTGCACGAGAAGGAGCAGCTTGCGATCATCTACGCGCTGCAGAAGTTCCGAGTGTACCTCCACGGTACCGCCAAGCCCTTCAAGATTGTGACGGACCACCAGTCACTGCGTTACCTCGACACCAAGAAGAACCTGAGCCGACGCCAAGCGCGATGGATGGAGTTCCTCGCCGAGTACAACTACGAGGTTGTATACCAGAAAGGCAAACTCAATGTGGTGCCTGACGCACTGTCCCGACGCCCCGACTACCAATTGGCGTCACTGTACGAGTCGACTGTCAGTGTCGACAACACGATGCTGGATGTTGTCCGAGACAACATCGCCAACGACAAACAGTTCGGAGAACTGTTCCGAAAGGTGTCTAAGCTCCCCAAGGACGACGAATCGTCCGAGTACACAGTGCGTGATGGCCTGCTCCTCCTGAAGAAGGACAGCCGTGTCTGTGTGCCGGACATTCCGTCGTTGAAGACCAAGTTGCTCCAAGAGGTCCACGACTCGCCCCTCGCTGGACACTTTGGAGTCGAGAAGACATACGACCGACTGGCCAAAGTCGCATACTGGCCTGGAATGAAGCGCACCGTCGAGAAGTACATCGAGTCCTGCCATACCTGCAAGATGGTCAAGTCACGCACGACCCGAGAGCAAGGATTGCTGCAACCCCTGCCTGTTCCCGACCGCCCCTGGACCAGCATGTCCATGGATCTCATCACGCATCTACCGACGACCAAGTTGGACCACGATGCAATCGCTGTCTTTGTCGACAGGTTCAGCAAGATGGCACACTTTGTGCCGTGCCAGACGACATGCTCCGCGCCTGACCTTGCACTGCTGTTCTTCAAGCATGTGTTCAAGCACCACGGCCTCCCAAAGTCCATCGTCAGTGATCGAGACCCCCGATTCACCTCCTTGTTTTGGACAAGTCTGTTCGACCATCTCGGCACCAAGCTGAACATGTCAACCTCGCACCACCAACAAACGGATGGACAGTCCGAGCGGACGATCCGCACCCTCGAGCAATACCTGAGGACATACGCCTCGACCAGCCAAGACGACTGGGACATACAGCTGAGTCATGCAGAGTTTGCATACAACACCGCCAAGTCGAGCACAACTGGCTTGAGCCCCTTTGAGGCGCTCTACGGATTCCAGCCTGATGTTCCCACCTCCTTGACACTGACCGAGTCCACGGCTGGATTGCCTCCCAAACCAAGTGCCTTTGTCAAAGATCATCAAGTCCGACACAAGATGATCGCCGATGCGCTCACGGATGCGCAACAAGTGATGGCGAAGTACTACGACCGCCGACACCAGGATGTCTCCTTTGAAGTTGGAGACCTTGTCTACCTGGACGCCGACAACATCAAGGTCCCCGAAGCCCAGTCAAAGAAGTTGTTGCCCAAGTACCGAGGACCGTTTAAGATAGCGGCCCGACCCAGTCCCCTCAACTACCTGTTGGACTTGCCACCTGGAAGCAAGCTCCATCCTGTCTTCCATGTGTCCAAGCTGCGTCGCCACACGACCCGCAGTCCAGCACAGTTCCCCGACGCCGACGAAGGTGTCCCGGACGACGCACCACTGGAAGACGACCTCGGACAATACTATACTCAAGAATATGAAGTCGAAAGGATCGTGAGGCACAAGAAAGTGGCTGATGGGTCACTTCGGTTTTATGTCAAGTGGGTTGGTTACCCACACTCGGGCAACACATGGCAAACACTGGAGGACTTGTCCCATGCACCCGAGGAGCTGAGTAAATACGGTAAACACCTCGAGGAGCCCCAAATAAAGAGCACACGCAGGGCTCCTCGCAGGAAGCCTTCTTAAGTGTGGGAGTGTAGGAGATGGTATCTCCGACGCTGTGCTGCGCGTACTGCGCGTACTGCGCGGCGCAGTGGGTCGTGACCTGTGCTGCGCTTTGCGTTTTCACGCACCGCAGGCAGGCCACCGCAGGGTATACCTGCGGGTTGCCCCCGTTCCCCCCGTTTGTCTGGAGTTCGGTTTTATCGTGAATAAACGTAAGTGCTTCCCCGAGCTCACCCGTCCGCTAGAGTAGCCTAGCACCGCCCTGTTCTGCCCTGTCCTGTCTTGTCTTGTACCCCCTCCCTCCCCGTCTTGCCCCAACGTCCCAGTAGTGGACGTTACACAAGTCGTGTTTATCAAGCTACTCAAGCGCTCCATCATGGTCAAGAGCAATGGTGCTGCTATTTGGTCTCGCTATGAGAGGCTCATTCGCGAGGGATGCATGCAGTGAATGCAGTGCACACACCTTCTTCCAATCCTGTTCCGGCCCACTCACGGGCGACGACGTTTCACTTCCGAGTCTCTTCCGACCCACTCACAGGCGACGACGTTTCACTTCCGAGTCTCTTACGAGTTTTCAGCCCTACACCATGTTTATCGAGTGAGCCTCACTTCCGAGTCTCTTCCGACCCACTCCACTCCACGAATGGGTGGGTGGGCCCCGAATACTTCCCGACCATGAATATCTTTTTTTTTCTTGAAAATTTTGTTTTTTCTTCTCCAATGCCCCAACCGGCCCCAAAAGTGCTTCTCACTCCATATTCACTTCCAAATCACTTCCGAGTGAGTTCCGCGGTGGTGTTCTCTCCATGTTTTCAGTGTTAGATGATAATATTATCACACTCCAATAAAAATTTCACTTCCGAGTCTCTTCCGACCACTCGATGGCTCACTTCCGAGTCTCTTCCGAGTCATTTGGATATCTCCAGACACCACGGCGATGGAGATTATGGTTCGGGTGTGTGGGTGGTCGGTGTGCATGGAGCGGGTTAACCCCCGTCGCCACCAGCTCCACCAGCGACGGCGGAGAACTGGGCTGGGCTTGGACACCCTGTCTGACAGGCACATTCGTCTCCCACAGACTCCGCAGGTACATGGGTATATGAGGAGCCCGAGAGATCGCTGCTGGAGCACCCCATCCATCCGCCTATCCCTCTGTCGCCGCCATGTCCTCTCGGGTGTTGGGGATAGCTCCTGCCTGCTCCCCACTTTGACTGCCCACTTGGCTGTTCTTTTGCCCCTCTGTTTGTTTGTGTGTAGCTTTGCAGTTCCCCTCCGATTTTCCGCCTTTTGCCTGCCATTTCCGCCCATTCCGCACTTCCGTTTTCCCGCGCTGCTCCGCTTCCTTTGTCTTCTTCGCACGCGCCGGTTTGTTTGTGCACGCGCCTTGCTGCGATTGGTTGCAATTCGGCTGCCGGTCATGTGTCCCCCCACCGGTGACTCATGACCTCCCTGACCGCCCCAAACCTTCGCCTATCTTGCATGCGCTCACCCCAATCTTTTCTTTGACCAATCCGCTTCTTGGATGTTGAGTCACATTGCTTCGCCTTTGCACGTTTCTCCTGCCAGGTGCTTCGCTTTTGCTTGCGCCTCTCTCGCTTTGGTTCTCTGCCTGTCTCGGTGGTCCTTCTCGGCCCTCGCTTGTGCATCGCCCCCTTCGCCCTGCTCGATCGCCCACTTTTCCCTCCCTTGGCCGCCCTTCGCTGCCAAGTCCGGACTTGTCTATAAATAGCCTGACCCCCGCGATGTGTAGTCGAACCTCAGCGTTCAAAATAGGACTAAATAAAGTGCCTTCTACTTTATTCTCTGAGTGTTCCTCACGTCTCATTTCGAGACTAGTCTTATCTTGAACGGATCTTTGCTTCCCTCGCTCCCTCTCCGAGTCCACTTCGGACTTTACCCTTGCCTTCCCTGAGCTCACTTCGAGCTCACTTTCTCTTTTGCCGTTGAGTCCCCTTTGGACTCTAACATCGGGTCACCAAGCGCATCACCCGCTCGATGAGCACCCGGGCTGCCAAGCGCCAGCGTCTCCATGAGCAGCTGGTCTCCTTGGGAATCGAAGAAACCTTTTCTGTCCTCCTGGCCGTCCTCTCGGTCCCCGAGCTGATCGAGATGCTCACTGTCTGCAGTCTCGTGAAGCTCAAGGCAACTTCCAGCGACGTGAGGACGCTGTTCTCGACCAAGACTGTGGGGATTCGTATCTGGGCCGAGTGGTTCGACAAGCAGTACGACACCAGGCTCCTCCCCGAAGACTGTGTCCAAATGGTCAAGTATTTCCCGGCTGGACCGTTCCCTTCGACGTCAAGTGGTTCAAGACCATACCGAGATCCGTGGTTTCAGCCGAGTTCGTCAGAGTCGTCACTCGTTTCCGCCAAGAGAACCCCGAATTTCAGATCTTGCAGCGACTCATCGAGGCTGAGCACATCCCCACTGCGATGTGGTTTGTCAAGCGCATGATCTGGAATGGCGAAATCCTCAGCAAATGCCTTTCCGTCTTGAACAACATATCCGAGACGCTCGACGACTTCCTCCTCGAAGAACGTGACGTCTTCCTCAAAGGACTATCGGTCGAGATCAACCAGGTGTACTTCCAATGGCTCAAGTCGTTGGACGTATCCAACGTGAAGGTCAAGTACGCTCTCTACGAATGCTATCGTTTTGGTAGAGGAACCGATGCCAACCCGACCCGGGGCTTGGATCTCCTGGTCGAATGCGCTCGAGGTGGTTATCACGACAGCGCCCTGCAGATCTACGACATCTGCCGATATGGGTGGATTCGAGATGCACCCCATGCATCGTCCGTCTGGCATCGGTTGTCGGAATCGTCGGGACACAGTCTCCCTGAAAGGGACAGGAACCTCCTGAGTGTCTACTGTATGAAGAACTCGATTGGCTTCCCTCGATGGATGAACTGCAAGGCTACATATCAGTATACAGTAGCTCAAACAATTGTCCCAATGTTTTGGTGATTTGGACTGTGATGTCTGTATCTCTTCCATTTCTGATCCGATCCTCCTCAAACTTTGCCCCAAGAACCCCTTCCCAATGGTGTTGACACCCTATGAATAGTGTCGCACAAATCCCATAAATGGCAATTTGGTGCAAGTTCGAATCCACATCATGCATTGGGACAATATTTTGACCCTGGCCATTTTGTCCCAATGCGACCATTCTTTACCATGTATCTTCTTCCGATTGGGTCCAATCGGCCTGAAACTTTGCCCAATCACTGTAAATGCTACTGGAAATCATCTGTGACCATTGGATTGGACAAAATCCGTCATTAACATCTGACCCACCAATCACCCATATTGGCATAATAATCGAAATGGAACTCCACTCAAACTGTATTTATCCTTCTGCTTTCCACTTGAAACAACCTCGAAACACTATTTAGATCTATTTTAACGTATTACATTGAAGTTTCTCGCAGTTTTTGATCAGCATATTCAATGAGATGCTCATCCCATTCCCCCCTATTCCTCTATGTTTCCAAACGTTAGACATGCAAACATTCTCAGAGTGGGTCAATTTGTTACCATTCTGAATGATCTACTCCTGATCAATGTAGAAGTGCTGATTTCGTTCCAATCGGTCGCGGAACAAGGATGGGAATCGAAGGTATTCTTGCCTTGTTCCCATACTCATAAGGAACAAGAATGTTGGGTCCTACAATCATTCACCAAATGGGAAGTCTATTCGAACAAATGTATTGATGTGAAAGGGCACTGTAAGGGCTTCACATCCATACAAAATGATTTTGTTCATGGACAATTTTTGAAGTACTCATTGAGGCACGCAAAAATTGTATGTCTAAGGATTGATTCAACCTTGGCTTCTAGCCAACTGTGATCCCCAATTACATCAAAAAACCCATGAGATAGATCTTGGAGCTCATTGAGAGGATGGATTTGTATAAGAAAGTGAAGAATCCTGACGATTAAAGTCGTTTTGACGTCATTGAAGCTCGAAACAACGTCGATAATTGAACATCGAAATCGGGTGTTGGGTGTCAAATTCGAAACTGTCCATAGAAACATCAGGGGAATCGTATCAAATCAATTGAAATAGAGATCTTAGTGGATTCAAGGTGGGAAACCGAAGGTTAAAAGCAGTTTGAGTGGAGTTCCATTTCGATTATTATGCCAATATGGGTGATTGGTGGGTCAGATGTTAATGACGGATTTTGTCCAATCCAATGGTCACAGATGATTTCCAGTAGCATTTACAGTGATTGGGCAAAGTTTCAGGCCGATTGGACCCAATCGGAAGAAGATACATGGTAAAGAATGGTCGCATTGGGACAAAATGGCCAGGGTCAAAATATTGTCCCAATGCATGATGTGAATTCGAACTTGCACCAAATTGCCATTTATGGGATTTGTGCGACACTATTCATAGGGTGTCAACACCATTGGGAAGGGGTTCTTGGGGCAAAGTTTGAGGAGGATCGGATCAGAAATGGAAGAGATACAGACATCACAGTCCAAATCACCAAAACATTGGGACATTTTTTGAGCTACTGTAACCTACTCAATGCGTACAGGGATGGCAGCAAGATAGCACGCCAGGAAATCCTGCGCATTTCCCCCAGTGCACCACATCACTGGGATCGTCCAGACCACTGGGTTGATATGATCGCTCTGAACCACATCATCGCAGCCAGAAACGACCCCCAAGTTCAAGTCGTGTTTATCAAGCTACTCAAGCGCTCCATCATGGTCAAGAGCAATGGTGCTGCTATTTGGTCTCGCTATGAGAGGCTCATTCGCGAGGGATGCATGCAGTGAATGCAGTGCACACACCTTCTTCCAATCCTGTTCCGGCCCACTCACGGGCGACGACGTTTCACTTCCGAGTCTCTTCCGACCCACTCACAGGCGACGACGTTTCACTTCCGAGTCTCTTACGAGTTTTCAGCCCTACACCATGTTTATCGAGTGAGCCTCACTTCCGAGTCTCTTCCGACCCACTCCACTCCACGAATGGGTGGGTGGGCCCCGAATACTTCCCGACCATGAATATCTTTTTTTTTCTTGAAAATTTTGTTTTTTCTTCTCCAATGCCCCAACCGGCCCCAAAAGTGCTTCTCACTCCATATTCACTTCCAAATCACTTCCGAGTGAGTTCCGCGGTGGTGTTCTCTCCATGTTTTCAGTGTTAGATGATAATATTATCACACTCCAATAAAAATTTCACTTCCGAGTCTCTTCCGACCACTCGATGGCTCACTTCCGAGTCTCTTCCGAGTCATTTGGATATCTCCAGACACCACGGCGATGGAGATTATGGTTCGGGTGTGTGGGTGGTCGGTGTGCATGGAGCGGGTTAACCCCCGTCGCCACCAGCTCCACCAGCGACGGCGGAGAACTGGGCTGGGCTTGGACACCCTGTCTGACAGGCTGTTAGAGTCCAAAGGGGACTCAACGGCAAAAGAAGAAGTGAGCTCGAAGTGAGCTCAGGGAAAGCAAGGGTAGAGTCCGAAGTGGACTCGGAGAGGGAGCGAGGGAAGCAAAGATCCGTTCAAGATAAGACTTGTCTCGAAATGAGACGTGAGGAACACTCAGAGAATAAAGTAGAAGGCACTTTATTTAGTCCTATTTTGAACGCTGAGGTTCGACTACACATCGCGGGGGTCAGGCTATTTATAGACAAGTCCGGACTTGGCAGCGAAGGGCGGCCAAGGGAGGGAAAAGTGGGCGATCGAGCAGGGCGAAGGGGGCGATGCACGAACGAGGGCCGAGAAGGACCACCGAGACAGGCAGAGAACCAAAGCGAGGGAGGCGCAAGCAAAAGCGAAGCACCTGGCAGGAGAAACGTGCAAAGGCGAAGCAATGTGACTCAACGTCCAAGAAGCGGATTGGTCAAGTATAAGGTTGGGGCAAATGCATGCGAGATGAACAAGAGATCGGGGCGGTCAGGCAGGTCATGAGTCACCGGTGGTGGGACACATGACCGGCAGCCGAATTGCAACCAATCGCAGCAAGGCGCGTGCACAAACAAACCGGCGCGTGCGAAGAAGACAAAGGAAGCGGAGCAGCGCGGGGAAACGGAAGTGCGGAAGGAGCGGAAATGGCAGGCAAAAGGCGGAAAATTGGAGGGGAACTGCAAAGCTACACACAAACAAACAGAAAGGCAAAAGAACAGCCAAGTGTGCAGTCAAAGTGGAGAACAAGCAGAAGCTATCCCTAACATCATCCCCTTCCTTAGCGACGAACTCCGGGCGTCGCCTTCGGCTTTGAGGGATAGCGAAGGTGGAAGTCAGCAACAAGATCAGTGGCGTGGGAAACATTGGCAGCGGGCTCCCAAGACCGGTCAGTCTCGGAATAGCCCTTCCACTGAACCAAGTACTGTAAGCGACCACGGAAGAGCCGAGAATCGAGAACAGTCTCGACCTCAAACTCTTCCTGGGAGTCAACAAGAATGGGTGGAGGTTCGGGTTGGGTGAACTCGGGAACAATGTCCTTCGTTCGGGGTTCAAGGAGGGATACATGAAAGACGGGGTGGACTTTGAGTGTGGAAGGGAGTTTAAGTTCAAAGGCAACGGGGTTGATGCGGCGAAGAACTTTAAAGGGGCCAAGCTTTTTCTGATCAAGCTTGTTGGAGGGACGAAGGGTGCGGATGTGGCGACGATCAAGAAAAACGAGGTCGCCAACGGAGATGTCGGGAGTGGGGAGACGGGATTTGTTGGCCTGCAAAGTGTAGGACTCTTGGGCAACCCGGAGGTTGGCCTTGAGATCCTCGAGAACGGTCTGAAGTCGGTCGACACGTTCTTCGGCAGAGGGCACAACAGAAGGATCACGGATGATGGAGGGATCAAAAATGGGGTGATGGCCATGGACTGCAAAGAAGGGAGTCATGCCAGTGGAGGTGTTTTCCGAGTTGTTGTAAGTGAACTCGGCAAGGGGAAGGTGAAGGGTCCAGTCGTCTTGCAGGTAATTGCAATGGATACGCAAATACTGCTCGATGACCTGGTTGAGAACCTCGGTCGAACCGTCGGTCTCGGGGTGGAAGGCAGAAGAAAGGGAAATCTTCGTCTTCAGAAGCTCATTGAAGCGCCTCCAGAAGGCCGAAGTAAACTGAGTTCCTCGGTCCGAAACAATAGACCGGGGACAACCATGCAAGCGGAAGATGTGGGAGAGGAAGAGTTCGGCGGTTTGCTCGCCTGTAACCGTCTTCGTGGTGGGCACAAAGTGTGCTTGTTTGGACAGGCGGTCCTTAACCACGAAGATGGAGTCAAAGCCGTTCGAAGGTGGGAGATCCGTGATGAAGTCCATCGACAGGTCCCACCAACGTTCGGAAGGAACGGGGAGAGGATGAAGTAAACCATAAGGGGAGTGACGGGACGGCTTGGCTCGCTGGCACGCTTCACAATTAGCAATGAAGCGACGCACAGACTTACGAAGCCGGGGCCAGTGAAAGTCCCGGGAGACGAGCTCAACGGTCTTGGCAAGACCAAAGTGACCAGCGGCAGCGGAGCAGTGACGTTGCTCAAACACTTTGAGCTGG